AAGTGAAAGTCTTACCATCTATATTTTAGTAGTACTGATACTTTATGGAAATTGATGGCTTCAGGAGGAGAATATTTTTTTTCTGTATGGCTTTCTTTGTTGTTAGGAGGACAAGATCAGATGTGTTTATGAATGTATTTTCCAGACAATGGGGCTGTTGAGCTTGGGGAAAAATCCTCATAGTTATAATAATTTATGTAGCAATGTCTTCTGAAACCACACAACAGCTTTGCACAGCAGCATTTTAATCTCATTCAGTTGCACATATTCAAACTTACTGCCTCAAGGCATGTGCCAGATTTGACCTCACTGACACACTTAAAAATATTTAGGCCTAAATTTAAGATTTTTTTTTCATCCATTTGGATTACACAGTTTTAACATAAACAAACTAATAAGTGTAATATGATGCATATTTGTCAGTCATACATGAAACAGGTAACAAACAGGTAAGATTTCTGCACTCAATAAAATGATGCCATACTTTATTATTAACCGTTTGCATGTATTGCATGATTTTATTGAAATAATCACAAATGACAAATTTAGGCCTAATTATTTTTTGAGTTCACCAACCACCACTGGTTTTTGCTGATCTGACAACACTGATCTGATAATCAAACTGTAGATCAACATGTACCATTATCACATAATTCAATAAATGAGACTAGATATTTGCCAAAGCAACCTTCAAATTCATGAGGTTATGTTCGTATGTTCACACTTTATGAAGTGTTTGAAATGCCTGCTGATTGTTTTACTCACCGAATGCGCTGTAACCACCAGATTCCGGAATTGCAATCTTGATTGCTTACACCTGCTCATCATTTTTCGTTGTTGTGTATTTATAGTCACATTCACTCTCTGCACATTTTTGGTCAAGTCTTGCATGTAATTGCTGCTGCAGTTTTCTGTAATCATAGTCCTGTCTGTCATGGTTCATCTGACTCCTGTCTGGTTATCTTGTACCTGTGCTTTTAGACTGTGTGATTTGCATTTGTTTACTCTTCATCATGCCTGACTGCATATTTTGACCCTTTGGAAATTCTCTTGCGATTCTGTACTTAGATTTGTTAGCTGTCAGTGTTGCTCATTAAAATCTCTGCACATGAATCTAAACCCAGCACCTCTGATTGAACAGAAAATACACAGACCTGTTGAGATCCACCACACAATATCTTTGTGATTTCAGAATGTTTAAAGATTGCAATGGGATTCAATATTTTTCATGAAGCACAAAGAATTAAACTGTCTTGTAAATTGCTTATATTGTTGCAGGATTTTACAGTGGCAATATATTAATCGCATTGCTTTGGTTTAGATATAACAATGTTATATTTCACATTCCATATTCTGGGGCTGCTATGTCAACAGATTACAGAATGAAAAGAATTAATTTAATGAATAATTAGTGTGTGATGTAACTTATTCCATTTGCCATTTGTCCATGAATGATACATCAGATTGATAAACTACAAAAACAACAACAACAACAACAACAACAGGGTATTGTCAGTGTATTTTAAGACCCATTTTGTTAATGTAATCATAATTAAACATATCATCATAAAAATAATAATAATAAAAAAAAGATTGACAAATTTATTTTTTGATATTGCAGTTCTTCGTTGGGGTTTTACGGCAGAATGCATCCGAGATGCAGCAGTTTATTTTTACTTTTAATTTTGACAGTGCCGTGCCGTGTAATAGCAATAATGTGGTTCTATGTAATTTTTTAATATAAAAGATATTTATTATCTATGATTTTCATACCATTAATACTTAACTGAAGGGTATAGACTCACAGAAGTTGAATAAGGTCATTAGGAATGGCATCAAATACTACTGTAAACACTTTAGCGGTTACAGGGATCTTATAATAATTAAAACAGTAATTAAAGAGATGTCCATTTTATTGAACAACTGTTTCACCAAGATTACACCATTATTATACCAGTTTCTGTAAAACAAGGACTTATTTTTAAGCGTAAAATATTTCTTGAGTTAGTTCTATATGGAGAAAAGTTATGCTTAAAAATGAGCATCCATAAAAAAACCTGTTTATGAAAAGAAGATGGCTTTATCAGAACATTATTTACATTAAAATTACACCTAAAAAAAAAAAAAAAAACATCTAAACCCCCGAACGTATCAAAAATTAACTCAGGAATTATATTCCAAAGTTTGCCTTTAGACTGCAGGTGGTTCTTTATTCTTTTTTGTTCTTAAATACACAATTAGCAGTATTAAAGTCAAGTACATTAAGAGCACCATCTTCAGTTGGAAAAAGACAAGACTGTTTTTAATGCAATGTGGTCTGTTCATCCAGATGAAACTGAACAAAAAAGTATCCACCTCTGTTATGACCGATTGTGAAACATCTAATGCAAGAGCTGTATACACTAAACGTGACAACCCCTCAGTTCTGGATAATAACATTCTTCCTTTTAGTGACAGATCTCTCTTTAACCATGAATTTAATTTTTGCTTAATTTTCGTAAAAATTGGATTGCACATTATTTTGATTTGTAGGTTTGAAGACATATGAAGTGGTCCTCACTATTTGAAACACCCATAATTAAGCAAAAAAGCTGTTTTGTTTAGAGATGTGCTCATTATAATCCAACAGAATTTGTCAAATTTGCTAATTCCCTCAATCACACACAGATGTTTTTATGACTTTGCGCCTCAGAAGGCTTGTTTTACGCTCATTTATTCATAACTCCTCTAGAGGGCGCTGTGCGAAAGGAAGAACTAACGTAGAAGAAGAGGACTGTGGGCGGCGGCGGGAAACATAAATAGGAGCTCTGTGTTTATATTAGTGAAATACATTACTTTTATTCTCCGAGGCCGGACTGTAAAAGCTACCCACCTACAACATGGTTCAAGAATTTCATGTACTGAGATGTTTTTCCTGTCAAACATTTCAAGTACAGCAGGTACTGTTTCTCATGTCCCTTTTAGTTCAGAATTAAACCTTTTTTCCGTTTTTCTCGCGTTGTAACGTTAGCTGCTAAATCGCAAACGCTTGACATAAATCCCTCAGCCCTTAGTAATCCACTTAACGTTACTTACAATTAATGTCAGCTTCTCCCCCTCGTATTCAGATTGTCTAAATATTAGGTTTGGATTGACAATACTGATTAATCTATTTGAATTCATCTTCATTTTGTTGAACCGAGATCTTTTGGCCTATGCTGTTTTCAGTTGACGCGTGAACACAGTTTCAATAAATGTTATTTGTATTACGTCACCATCTAATTATCCCAATAAGCCTTTGTTACTTTTGAAAAATGTATGTGTTTTATCCAAATGAATGTCGAATTGAATGAAAAGCTTGTGACTCGGAGTCAAATCGATTCTTTTTCTCCTCTAGATGAAGAAGAGTAAGACATGGACATGTAAAGTGTGCGGCGAGAAGCAGTCATTGATGAAGGTGAAACTGAATCTAACAATTTAGCTATTTCTAAAATTTATTTGGCAACTGTTGATAAGTGACTCAAATTATAAAAAGGAACATTTACCATTTAAATTACACAAAAAGAGAAAAACAAAGATGCCTAGTAGTACACACATCATGTGAAATAAGTTAGCTGCTATTTGCAGTTGTTTAATAATAATAGTAATAATATAATTTTGTAATTTAATAATTGTTTATTTATGATACACTTTGTTAGTAGCTTGTACATGCAAGTGTTGATCAGTTGGCACACTATAAGAAAAATGGAAAAGGTACTAGTAATTTTCCAGGACATTATCCGTTGTCCATTATCTGCTGTAACCCAAAAACACTAAATACAATATGTAATTAAAAATGCAGGTAAAAAACCTGTGGAAAAATCAATACAGAGAATTCCTTCATATTAACATAGTAGATTGTGCCCTGTTTTACAGACTTTTCTTGGAGTGTAGCACACTAACTAACTACTAGGCCTAATACACTGCTTAAAACTACAATGTGTAGTTTTACTTGTTTACTAGCTAATAAAAAAAAACTTAAATTGTAATCGTTCAAAAATGTGTACGTTTTCAAAAATCTAATGTAGGCTATTTAAAAACAGTTATTTACATTTTAATATTATATTATGCATTTATATTATTTTACGAACAAATCTAAATTAACATATATAAAATGTATTTTTTGCTGAGATTTGATGCAGTCGCACAATTGTGCGTCGTGATTACGTAATGACGTCATCGCGCAGTGACGTCACAATGTCATTTAGCAACAAATCAACCTTGCTTTAGCAACTTCCCCTGAAAAATATTTGGCAGCACTGGTAGTCACGGCTGTTTGATGTGTTGCGTGCAGGAGTTTGGTCGAGGCGCTGCCGCTGACTGCAGAAGGCATGTCCAGAAGCTGAATGCTCTGCGAGGACAGATGCTGGAGGTGAACAGGGAACAGCTGCTGTCACAGCGGTGAGCAGACCGTCAGGAGCGCCACAGTCTCTATAAGTTACAAAAAGTCCTTAAAGGTCCCATATTGTCAAAACTGAAATTTCCTAGCTTTTTTCATGATAACTGAGGTCTAGGGGATACAAACTTTTGAGAAGCTGTGGGGAGAAGCAGTGAAATTGTAGGTCTTATTTCTTGGTGTAATTTTGAAAGGGTGTTTGTTGTGAATATTTATGAGGTGATTTTGTTTCTACATTCTTTGTTTAGCTCACGGGCAGCATTTAAATCTGCATGGCCGCCTGTAGTGGGCAATCTACTCACCCTCCGATAAAAGTTGATCTGGTTCACATATTTACACATGTTGGAGGGGACTTACCTGTTTAAAAAGCTGTTGTTCAGCATTAGCTTATTGGGTTTACATTGAAATTTCATGAATTAAATGCTTACATTTTTTGTAATCTGTCTCTAAATATTTGTATCTCAGGGGATACGTCGCCCTTTTAGGGGTATAAATCAAGATATAAAAACATATACACTCCCCTCCAAAAGTATTGGAACAGTAAGGCCAATTCCTTTATTTTTGCTGTAGACTGAAAACATTTGGGTTTGATATCAAAAGATGAACATGAGACAAGAGATCAACATTTCAGCTTTTATTTCCAGGTATTTTCATCTGGATCTAATAAACAAGATAGCAAGATAGCACATTTTGTGTGAGCCCACCCATTGCTCATGTGACCAAAAGTATTGGAACAGATTTACTTAATAAGACTTAATATTTAGTTGCAAATCCTAGTAACTACATCAAGCCTGTGACCCGTTGACCTCACCAAACTTTTGCATTCTTCTTTTGTGATGCTTTTCCAGGCTTTCACCGCAGCCTCTTTCAGTTTTGGGGGGTTACTCCCTTCAGTCTCTTCTTTAGCAGGTAAAATGCATACTCTATAGGGTTTAAGTCTGGAGATTGACTTGGCCAGTCTAAAACCTTCCACTTCTTGCCCCTCATGAACTCCTTTGTTACTTTGGCACTGTTTTTTGGGCCATTATCTTGCTGCATGATGAAGGTTTGAGGTTTGAGGTTACTTACTTCATCAGTGGTTTCTTTCTTCTTCAGGACAGTCCGAAGGGTTGTACTGGCTATGGCCAATGTTTGTGTAGTGGCTCTGATTGATTTTCCATCTTCTCTCAGCTTCACCATTCCTTGTTTTTCACCCATAGACAGCTCTCTGGTTTTCATGTTGGTTACATGTCTAACTATAAATGCAGTCTGCACAGGCAAAATCTGAAACTGAGCGCAGACATTCAGTGCTATTTATTGTTTGAATAATCAATATAATAGGACAGACCAGGGAAACAAAACACACCTGTCAGTCACATGTTCCAATACTTTTGGTCACATGAGCAATGGGTGGGTTCAAACAAAAGGTGCTATCCTCTAAGTTGTGTTTATCAGATCCATATAAAAATACCTGGAAATAAAAGCTGAAATGTTGATCTCTTGTCTCATATTCATATAGACTGTGTGATTTTGTGGCTTGTGTTTTAGAAAATCAAATCTTTTTGTAAACTTAAAACACATATCGTTGAATCTGACAGTCAAGGTTCCATATTTGGTGACTTTTTTTGTAATAGTACAAGTGATATTGTGACAGAAATGATTGATTTGTGACAGAAAACTGCATCAGAAAAATTCAATACTGTAGAGTTGAATATATTATAATATTGACAAGAAAATCTCATCTTCAAATTTGGAACATAACTTGGTTAGACATGTCTTTTGATTTTATAGCAATTTTAGAGTGCAACATATTTTATAAAATATTTATTTTATATAAAATAAAAACATATTCATATACTACATTATCTGTACTGTAAACTTAAACTTCTATAACTTTTTTTATACTTTTTTTTTTTTTTTTTTTTTTTGATTTTATTT